ATACTTATATGTCTTAAACACATATATTTTTAAATTTAAAACATATAAATATAAATCCATTTTTCAACCTTTTTGAGGTAGGGCCGAGGTCTTTTATTTTAATACATGCTGTAGTTCTTGGCTGGGGCACTTAAACTATTATGTTTATTACAAGAAACATTTGGAACTGTGCAAGGAGAGCTCTTTGATTGTTGAAATGACAATCATTTCAGGTGGCCACCGTAGCATTTAGTGGGTGTGGACCAGAGATGCTAAATGTCTCAATGCTATGCAGTCCTGCAAATGAAATATCTCGCTCAACCTTTCAATAAGACTCCTATAGAGAAGACTTGGGTCATTTAGCTGATGGAATTTCATGTTAACTAAAATAAAACACACTCTTAATGAATTATCTGATTTTCAATTTTGTTTCTTTAAAACTGAGGGAGCTCTTGGAAGACATTTGCAAAGCAAATGGGATACAGAATCCTCCCAACTTTTACTTATTTTTTTCCTCTTATCTTTTGCAATTTATCTTACCCATATCTAACTAGGCAGCACATTTTTTAATGACTCATTTATTAATTCTTTTTAGGAATTCAACTTAGTTTTTGTAGAAACTACTCTTGGAATCAGTCCATGTAATACTTAATAAAAGCATTCAATTACAGTAACAAGTACAATAACATAAATAGGTTTGGGAAGTATACAAGAGAACTGAGAGCACCATTAGTTAGTCAGGAGATTCCACAAAAACAAGATTGGTTCAGAGAACTTCCACTAAAATACATTTCCTGGAATTGCTATTAATGGCCTAACGGAATCCCTTGCAGCCCAGATCGCAGATGTAGTAGATTGAAATCCGTTTTGTGGTTGAATCTCTCTTCAGGCCCACTGCTTATATTTCTTTCTTTCCCACTTTTGCTGGGTCTTCTGCTTTTGTATCCTTTGTTTTGGTCCTTTAACCCTTTATCTGTTATGCATTATGTAACCCAAAGAAAAGTAGCTTAATGAGACACAGCTTTATTTTTTTTCTTGCAGATAATGAGAAAGAGCTTTTCAGGCTGGCTCACCCTGCTTGCATTACTGCATTTGGATCTACTGATCCAGTCACAAACTGCCCACCTTGGTGAAGCTGACCTGGAAATCTTTGATGGTGCTGCCTTTTACAGTTGTTCCTCCGTCTTCTTCCCAGCACTCTGCTCCTCAACTATTGGCACAATCGTCAAAACTCTGGCCTCCCACTCCATCTAAGGTTGATTAGACCTTGTGGGCATCATCTTCAGCCATTCCAAAACTCACAGGTAATATTATTTTCTCTGGTTTGGCGGTTTGTCCACGGTTGTGATCTGAGCTTGCTAGTTATTTTGAGATCAAGTTAGAAACAGTATGGCCTAGGGATCAAAATCTCAGATGCTTGAATCAGAAAAACCTGCATTTGCAGAATGGTTCCACAGTATTCTACCTGCATAACTTGGGGCAGGTTTCCTAACCTCTCAAAGTGTTACCTTCCTCGTTTGTAAGAAGGTTATTTCAATAGTTCCTATATACTAGGTTTGTTCTGAGCATTCAATGAGATGATGAAGTTTGAGATATAGCAGGTGTTCAATCCATGGTAAACTTGCGTAGTGCTTACGTGTCAAGCACAGTCTAAGGACTTTACACATATTATCTTGTTTAATCCTCACATCAACCCCTTGAGTAAGCACTATTAGTCATGTTATTAGACGAGAAATCTGAGGCACAAAGCGTTTTAACGGCTCTGTCAGTTATACAGATATTAAGTGGTAGTCCCAGGATTTAAACCCAGAGTGGCTGGTCCCACAGTTTGCCCTGCTGACCACTATGCTATGCTGCTTCTCTTGCCAGCTCTTACTATGGGGGTTACTGCCTATGCCTGTATAAACTTGATGGAGGGGAAATGGAGAAAGACTGAGGCTCCCTTTGTTGCATGAGGTCATTCTTCCTGCTTGCTTTTACTACCAACTTATGCTCCCCTTTCACCTTTCCTGTGCACAAGATAAATTTATAGCCTCTTCTCTCTGCCCTATCACTTATTCCCAGCTCCTTCCTTCACCCCCACCTCACTAGGATCTTCCAATGTCACTTCATGCCTCTAATTTAGCTTTAGCACCTGACAAAGCATAAACTGACAAGTTTCTAGGTTATGGCTAATTAGAGCCAGGCTCCATGTGGTTTCTAAAGTCATCCTCTCATTGTGCTCTTACGGACTACCTTAGTTTGTCAGCGGCCTTTCAAAACATTTCCGCTAAACTAGATACCATGCGACTGACCGGAGAGATTCTGATGAGCCTACTTACTTGCTATGACCTGGATGTTACAGTCCCCTTTATACCTCCCCAGAGAGTGTTGGTTCCCTTAAAAGCCACATCTGGATTAGCTGTGTTGAATCACATTAAATTTACAATCAACTAAACCATCACAAGAGAATTTTCCAAGGATGATCACCCTCTTCCTGTAATGGTAAAATAGATATTTTGCTACTTTTAACCCTGCTAAATTTTATCTTATTGAGTTTACACTTGCATTCAACCCTGTCAAAGTAATTTCGATTATGGATTATGTTATCTTATATATTATGTACTTCCAAATGTTTGCGTAATCTGAAAATCTTATGCGTGTGATGTTGGTTCTTAGCAAAAATCTCAACTTTTATGGCAAACACCTAGTTTAAGAACACTTAGAAAAGAAGACAGTCATCACTCAGAGCCCAGCATGAGCCCCTCAGGACCAGCATCATGCCATGCTAACCTCATTTCCTTTTTGTAGAGTCATTACTCAGAGCAATGCCATACACAAATTGTGATGCGATTTCCACAAAGTACTTGACAAAATCTCTGATTAGGTTGTAGTGAATAAGAAGGTGCACTATGATCTTTAGGATGGTATGTGCTAGGGGAATTCATAGTTCAATGAATGACTGCATCCAAAAAAGACTGACAAATGATTTTAGGTCAATGTAGGTGATGTCTCTATAGGAGCACATGGCAACTCAGTACTGGGCCTTGTCTTGTTCACCTTTGTATCAAAACTTGCACTATACTGTGAATTTTGATATGTAGTTGATTCTTATGTCCTTTTGAAAATGAGGATACTTTTTTCATCTTGCCCACATTTGTTGTTGTTCAGGAGTGCCTATAGTGGTTCTAATGTTGATTAAAAGCTCCTCGAGTCCCTGGGACCCAGTCAGCTCGGTCTGGAGATGTGAGCACACACAAAGTGCATGCTCTGAATTGCAATTCTCTCTTTATGTCAGTGGCTCTGTCCTACCCTTTCAAGTTTCCATTTTCTTCTTCTTATTGGAGAAGACAGAAGCAAAATAGGAGTTGAGTAGTTTTGCTCTGTGTCATCTGTTAAATTGTACTCAACATTTCCAGCCCTCTGTGTGCTTGTCTGATTCTTATTCTTCTTGCCTCTCACAGTTTAAAATCCCTTTCTGTTGTTCTGACATTGTTTTCAAGTTTTAGCTCATTCTGGAATTTTGCCTGTCTGATGTCTGACACCATTTTATAGGTCTTGGCCGTTTATTCAACAAATTTATGAAGCACACATTCTACTGGAGGAAGAAAGACAATAAACATCACAAACAGGGGGATGATATCATATATTATAGGGTAAGCATAGTGGAAAAAACAAAAGAGAGCAGAGATTTGGAGCTCTGGGTTAGAGGGTGAGTTGCAATTTTAAATAGAGTGGCCAAGGTACCTCAGTGAACCAACATCCTTTGAGCAGAGAATTGAAGGGGGTGAATAGTTAGTTAATTTCTTGTAATTGATATTAGTTACACATCTCTTCTTCCCTTTTTCATACATAGGCTCTTATGTTTTGAATCAATTTAGAAAAAAGTGTCACATTTCACCCCTCCAATTTTCCATTAACACCCACACCCCCTTCTCTCAACTTCTTTTAGTCAGGGACTAAGATCTACAGACTCAAGCTGTGTCCAGTTCTTAATTTTAGCTGTCAAATAATCCTTTCTTGGTACATAGTAGGTACTTAGCAAATAATTATTAAATTAATCAATAAATAAACTAAGACCACCAGCTCATAATAGAAGGTGGTAACTAATAACCAATTTTGAAGCCTCCAGAAATATATTCCCTTGGATGGGATCCCTTGAAGAAGCATTTATGATGCAAGACCTGAAGGCAGGCTGGAGGAACAGCAGTGGTGGATTTGTAGTTTGGGGCTGGAGCCCTCCCTACGCGGTGTCTTGAGAATCGCCTTTAGTTAGGTGCTCATAGAAGCTCACACCGTTAGCGGCCCCTGAACTTGGGAACTGTACCCTCAGACACTGATTCCGTGAGAATAGGAAGTGGGAAAATCACCCATGAGGTATTTTTCCATTTAGCTTTTAATCTTCCGAGTGAGTTTTGCTGCCGTCACCACAAAACAAACAGCAAGCAGTTTTTCCCAGGGTCCCACATCTTGGGAGGGCTGAACACAAAAAGCCTTTGCCAAAAGTCCCTGCACTGAGTGTGCTGTTTGTAAGGAAAGAAAACAGAAATTCACAAACCGTGGAATTCTGACATACCGTGTAGGAAAACTTTCTGGGACATAACTTTTTTCCGTGGCTTGAAATATGAAAACTGGAAATCAAGTGTATTCTATATTCTGTGAACATAGACAATGAGCAAAAAGAACTTAGAAGATGGGTGACCATATAATTTATTGTCCCAACTGGACAATAACTTTTTGAAGATAAATTTTGAGAGTGAAAGAGCCTCTATTACTCATCACACTAGGAAAACAGGCATAAACCAAGGCTTTCTCAAGCATATATATCTCAGAATATATGGTGACCCTGTATAGAAGAACAGTGCTGTGAAAACAAAATGTGAAGAGAAGCATAGGTAAAATTGAATTTTTTTCCCCTACTACCCACATTACACACCTTTGACACTGCCATCCCTAATCATAGAATCACCAAATCATAGGATTTCAAGGCTCAAATTGGGATTACAGACCATCTGTGTCCTTCTACTCAAAAGATGGCCAAGGACCAGCAGTATTGGCATCATCTGGAAGCTAGTTAGAAATGCAGACTCTCAGGCCCCACTCCAGCCCTACTGAATCAGAATGTGTGTTTTAGCCAGGTCCCCAGGAGATTCACATGCGTATGAAAGTTTGAGATGCACTGATTTAAGTCATTTAACAAATAAAGAAACTGAGGCTCAGGGAGATTAAAAAGCTTGAACAAGGTCTACTAGTTATATCTGGGGCATCATCTCATATCTCCTACTGGGCAGGCTAGTTTTCCTTCCAATACACAATGGTGTTCTCTTGTCTATCATGTCTAAAAAACCGTGCGGAAGCCAGAATAGACCTGAATTCTGGTCCCGGTTTCACCTCAAATTCAGGGAAGTCACTGCATCCAGTTTTCCTCATCAGTAAAACAAGGAAATTTGATTAAATTGGCCTCTACGTTTCCCTTCAAGTTCTTTTTTTTTTTTTTATAATTTTATTTATTTATTTTTCCCCCAAAGCCCCAGTAGATAGCTGTATGTCATAGTTGCACATCCTTCTATTTGCTGTATCTGGGACGCGGCCTCAGCATGGCTGGAGAAGCAGTGCGTCGGTGCGCACCCGGGATCCAAACCCGGGTCGCAAGCAGCGGAGCGCGCGCACTTAACTGCTAAGCCATGGGGCCGGCTCTCCCTTCAAGTTCTAAAGTTCCATAATTCTATGAGTGGCAGAGCATCTGAGAAGTCTGAAGCATTTGGGAAGAGTCTCAAAAAACATGATACAGGACAAGTGTCTTGATTAATGCCTTTCCTGGGGAAGGAATGTTGTTTGTGGCGAGACACGGGATGGGCGTTCTGGGGGAGAGAATGGCAGAAGCAACTGTTTGATGGGAGGAAGGAGTATCTGAGGACAATGGAGAGAGGTGGTATGGGATGTTTAAGAGACGGAAAAAATGTAAGGCAGCTTTAAGCGTGTTCTTAGTTAACTTAGACCATGGCCTACAAAATAGCCTCTAAATTAACAAAATTTTCCCTCAATAGGAGGTAGCTTATATACTCATTGCTTCTGAGACTTTCCTTCTCAACCTTGGGCACCTATGGCTAGTGTGATGGTTAATTTTAAGTGTCAACTTGGCTGGGCTCTGGTGCCCAGTCATTTGGTCAAACACTATTATAGATGTTGCTGTGAAAGTATTTTTTAGAAATGATTAACATTTACAATCAGTAGACTTTAAGTAAAGCAGATTATCCTCCATAATGTGGGTGGCCTCTTGCAATCAGTTGAAGCGCTTAAGAGCAAAGACTAAGGTTTCCCAAAGAAGAAATTTTGCCTTAAGACTGCAATATAGAAACCCTGCCTGAGTTTCCAGCCTGCCAGCATGCCCTGTGGATTTTGGACTCAAAAATGTGACATCAACTCTTTGCTGAATTTCCAGACTGCCAGCCTGCCCTACCAATTTCACACCTGCCAGCACCCATAATTGCATGAGTCTATTCTTTAAAATAAATCTCTCTGTCTATCTGTCTGTCTCTCTCTCTCTCTACACACACACACACACACACACACACACACACACACACGCATACATACACCCTATTGTCTTATTGGCTCTGTTTCTCTAGAGAACCCTACCCAACATAGACAGTATTCACGGATTTCTCTCAACTCTGTTTAACCAGAAGTTAATTGGCAGACAGACTTTGAGTGATCTATTGATAAATGTGGAAAGTAGAAAACTCTTTGTTCCCAAGTTTTGCCTGAAGAAGGCAGGGTATATTTCTGACTCACCAATCTATCCTCAATGCCTAAGACTGTGCCTGGCATGAGAAAGAGGAGATACTCAATAAATTTTTGTGAATAAATTCACATGAGAGTAATTCTTATCTGTGTAAAAAGTCAGATTTAGGCTGTATAATCAATTGAATAAATAATAAACTATTTACAGCAACCTTGAAGAAAGTCATTTTCTGTAGACAGAGTCGAAGAGAATATCTAATGTATTCCCTTAGCAATTTGGGGATTTTTGAGGGGTTGGGAGAGGGAAATGTAATACCCAAGTCTCCTTTCACTATCAATATGCCATAATGGCTAAGAGCATAGATTTTGTGGTAAGAATGTCTGCGTTCTGATCCCAGCTCTGCCAGTTGGTATCTGTGTGACCTTGGGAAAGTTATCAGTTTATCCATATGAAAAATGGGCATAGAAATGTGCCTGCCTTAAAGAGTTTATGTGACGGTTAAGTGAGTTTATATAAATAAAATACTCAAAACAGTGCCTGGTATCCAGTAAGCACAATAGAAGTCTTAGCTGTTATCATTATTATCCTCTCCTACTCAATAATGAACACTCATCGTCTGCAATTGTACTAACTGCTGGATACAAAAAAAAGGTAAGACAAAATGGCAGCCTTGGGCTGGCCTGGTGGCTTAGCGGTTAAGTGCGCACGCTCCGCTGCTGGCAACCCGGGTTTGGATCCCGGGTGCGCACCGAGACACTGCTTCTCCGGCCATGCTGAGGCCGCGTCCCACATACAGCAACTAGAAGGATGTGCAACTATGACATACAACTATCTACTGGGGCTTTGGGGAAAAAAAAAAAGGAGGAGGATTGGCAATGGATGTTAGCTCAGAGCTGGTCTTCCTCAGCAAAAAGAGGAGGATTAGCATGGATGTTAGCTCAGGGCTGATCTTCCTCAAAACAAAACAAAAAAATCATCAAAAAAAAAAATGGCAGCCTTCAAGGAGATCAACCAGACAAGATAATTAAATACAATGTGATGTATGTGCAAAAAGGCATATGTAAAGTACTTGGGAACCCAGAAGGCAGCTAATTATCTAAACCAAGTAGCCTGTGAAAGCTTTATGGAGGAAGTAAAATTTAAGCCAAATTTTGAAAAATGAGTAAAAGTTCACAAGGCAGAGCAGTGGGAAGGGCATTTCTGGTGGAGTAGGTGCCATATACAAAAGCATAAAGACATGGTTTGGGAAATGATGAATTGTCTTTTGAACCCGAGGAATGTCCAAGAAGAAATCCTCAGTAGGCAAACGGCAAGAGGGTCTAGAGTTTAGGATTACGGAAAGGCTGGAGGGATAAGTCTGGAAGTCATAGAGTCAGCAAATTTGTCACAGCAGTGCTGAACTCTGTGCAAGAATGACATGTGGGGGAGAGAATATGAGGGTTACCGAGGACCACAGTGTTTAAGGAGCAGGTGGGGGTGACATACTTGAAACAGAATTAGTCAGAGAGGTAGCAAGGAGATCCAGAAGAGAACGGTATTGTGGAAGCCCAGAAAGGAGAGTATTCCAAGAATGAATGAATGCTAATCTTTTTACTGTCACTATGGATTTGCCTTTCATATAAATGGAATCATTAAAATACGTGGTCTTTTGTGTCTGGCTTCTTTCACTTAGCATAATGTTTTCAAGGTTCATCTATCTTGTAGCATGGATCACTACTTCATTCTTCTTTTCTGGGGAGGCTGAATAGTTTTGCATTGTATGGATATTACACATTTTCTTTATCCATTCATCAGTTGATGGTCAGTAGCGTTGTTTCCACTTTTTGGCTATTATGAATAATGCTGCTGTGAATATTCATGTACAAGTTTTTGTGAGAACATATGTTTTTAATTCTCTTGGGTCCAACAGTTGGAGTTTAACTAAATAATATAATAAAATACTATGTAACCATCAAAAAGAGTGATATAGAGTTGTATATGCTCATATGGACAGAATCATTAAATGAAAATACCAGGTACATTACAATGTGTATTGAATAAACCCTTGTTGTAATTAAAAACAAATAAATAAATAAATATGAAAGAAAAGAATGAAGAAATAGTAGGAGGAAAATAATTGTTTCAAGTCTTCCCTTCTCCCCAAATACAAGCTTTTAGAACACTCAAAAGGGGGTGTACCAGTGTGCTTGTATTAAAAAGCAAACAACAGCCAAAAAACCCCGCCAATTACCTAACTTAAAGTTAATCTTATTTCACCTCTGGTGAGTTTTCCATGAATGTGCAATTAAGATTAATTGCCAGTAACTATGTGAATTTAGTCAAAGTAGGAAGGATGCTATTCTAGAACTTGTGTGGGCACAATTAAAAAATAAAAAAGGAAAACATCTGTTAATGCTCTTGAAGAACTTCCGTGCTTTCAGTCCTAGGATACCACTCAAAAAAATTGCCATGAATCTTAGTTTTGTCCCTGCAGAGCCATCTATTCCCCCGGGGAGCTCTCCTATGTGCCTATTTTCCTTTTGTTTTGTGGAATCTTTCCCAAACAAATGCTGCTCTAGTCTGTTACATCGGTGGCCTCCAATGAGCCTTGCTTCCCAGTGTTCACACCTTGGGGGGGGTCCTCTCCTCTGGAAACTGAATTGGCCTGCGACTCGTGATAGCCAACAAAATATGGCCGCCATGGAAGTGACGCTGTGCCAGTTCTGTGCCTAACCCTTCAAAAGGCCTGGCAGCTTTTGCTTTCATGCTCTCAGGAGCCCTAAGCCACCAGGGAAGAAGTCTGGCTACTCTACTGGAAAGACTCCATGGAGAGAGGCTGCGTGCAGAGGGAGAAGCCCTGAGATCCCCACTATCCCTGTCGCCCCAGCAGCTAAATGAAACCACACAAGTGGCCACTGAAAAGACCAGCGGGAGAGCTACCCAGCTGAACCCAGCCCAGTTACTACATCCTGAACAAAAACTGGTCATTGTGTCTTAAGCCACAAAGTTTGGGGATGGTTTGCTATGCAGCAATAGACAACCAAAACAAATACGTAACTGTTTTTTTTTCCTGAGAGAGAAGTGTAAGAAATTTCAAAAGAATTCAAATAACCTTACCTCAAAGGGTTAAGAATTTCTTCATGTTTCAAGGGAGCCCTTTCATAATCAATCCTTTCATATCACTGGTAGAGACAGACCATTGAAAGCCAAGTGAAGCGGTGAGCTTAGAGGGAATTTGTTTCCTTCAGCCCACACGTTTTAATCAAAGCAGTGTCCCCTTTCCATTAAACCTGGAGATCTTTAATTTTTCTCTCCGTCTGCTGTTTTCATGTGTGTGCTTGCTGAGAAGGATACTCAAACGCACGTTCACTCCCTGGAAATTTCCTTTCTCTATCTCTCCAGCTTTAACATTTTCCTGGAACCTATTCTCCTCAGTGTCTCCTCTCATTT